TTGAGCCATCCTTTCTCTCCCTCTCCCCACCACTCCCCCCCACCAGGCGGGTCCGTCGTCTCGCTGACCTACATCGCATCGGAGCAGATCATCCCCGGGTACGGAGGCGGCATGAGCTCCGCCAAGGCGGCTCTCGAGAGCGACACTCGTGTGCTGGCGTGGGAGGCGGGGCGCAAGTATGGCATCCGCGTCAACACCATCTCTGCAGGTACTGCTTTGGGGCATGGCAGAAGAAGGGCTCTGCTTGGTGCTGGCATGGGAGGCGGGGCGCAAGTATGGCAGAAGCAGTGCTGTGGCAATCGACCTCTGCTGAGGCGCCTCAAAAGACTTTTGAGGCGCCTCAAAAGAAGGCAGTGCTGTGGCAATCGACCTCTGCTTGCCCTAAACCCGAAATCCTGCTGTTACCTGGTGTTTGTGGGAAGTCAAAAAGGGCTCTGGAGAGCTACACGTGTGTGCTGGCATGGGAGTCGGGGCGCAAGTCATCCGGGTCAACACCATCCTGGGTGGCTTAATCCCCCTCTACCCCACCTTCTCCCCCCCACCCTGGTAGTCCCTCAGGCCCTCTCTGCAGCAGGGCGGCCAAGGCCATAGGCTTCATAGACAACATGATCAACTACTCCACCGCCAACACCCCCCTGACCAAGGAGCTAGGTGCTGATGAGGTGGGGGCTACCACCGCCTTCCGTGCTCATCCCACCCTTCCCCTGCCCCCTGCACCCTGCCCCCTGCCCCCTGCACCCTGCCCCCTGCCCCCTGCCCCCTGCACCCTGCCCCCTGCCCCCTGCCCCCCTTCCTCCCCATCCCGCAGGTCCACTCCGCAGCAGGGCGGCCAAGGCCATAGGCTTCATAGACAACATGATCAACTACTCCACCGCCAACGCCCCTCTCCCCAAGGAGCTTGACGCTGATGAGGTGGGCGCCACAGCAGCTTTCCTCGCTTCCCCTCTGGCTTCGGCTATCACTGGCGTGACGCTGTATGTTGACAATGGGCTGCACGCCATGGGTGTTGCTGTTGACAGCCCGGCCATTGCCAATGCCGGGAAGTAGAAGAGTTGGTTCTTTGCTGTGTACGCTGTATCGTGAATATATGTGATACACAAGTTCTGCTTGTCTGTGTGTGGGCTCTCTGGCCCTCTGCTACGGTATCACTGGAGTGACGCTGTATGTCGAAAATGGACTGCACACCTTGTGTGCTGCCGTTGGCAGCCCCGTTGTCATACCGTATTGAAAATGAGGGGGAGGAGTAGAGATGGTGGTACATTTGGTATGGACATCATAGAAGGGTGTTGCCATTGACAGCCTTACAAATGTCTGGATTACGGTAAGTGGGGCTGGAAAAGCAGGCTTGGTCAGGTAGTGCAGACGGGAAGCATCATTAGACGCTTGTACTACGGTACATGTTGCAATGCAAATGCCACGAGATTTGCCTTTGGTAGGCACGCTACAGTACCAGTGTTGCAAATCCAAGGGGTGCTTGGATTACGTGAGAAGATGATTGCGGATGGGCAACATCACACACACACCGACGGATACGGTATGTGCCATGTCCATTGTGGACCAGGTGTGGAGGAAGTTAGTACCTCACTGAAGTGTATGACGTCGTTACAACACAAGCGCAGCAACCCGTGATCACTGATAACTTGTGGTTATGACCGCGTCTCGTGTAATAAATAGCACATGACAGAATCGTACAAGATGGTATAGGTAATAGGGACATGATACACTGAGAGACATTGCCCATATGCACAGTGCACACACTCAGGAAACAACAACCTTGGCCTTCATCTTACGGGCGCAGTGATTCCCCACTGCACACCCAAAATAGAGGGTGGTTCCCTTCTGAATATTCTTCACAGGGTAGAAATAGTGGGCCCCAAAAATGCCAGTCTTGGGGTATAGCTGAGTCGCTAAGGTGAAATCGCAATTGTCATACGCAATCTTTGCAGGGAATTGCCACACGTCGTGCTCCCCCAACCACTTGAACACTGCCAACATCCAAAGAGGATACCACCCAAGTGTTAGGAGTTACAAGCAAAACAAATCTACACACATTTACAGAAATGGTAGGTACACATGCAGCATTCTGAACTAAGCATGGAGAATATGGAGGACACCTACACAGAAGCCAGTCACTTACAAAGCTGGTCGCCCGGTTGGACTGTCCTAAATGGCTTCCATCCAGAAATTCCATACCGCCAGGGAGTAAAAATACCGTAGCCCACTATGATGGTCTTTGCCTGGTAAAGAGAATGTAACGACGAGAGGGGAAGGTTGGGGAATTGTACCGTATGAGAACTTTGTATTTTCTTTTCTGAAAGGTGAAAATGCAGCATTGAATTTGCCAGAAAAAACGATTGCAGCAAGATGGTTGAGGAGACCAGGAAATTTCAGATGATGTTGGCGGGAATGCGGATGGCCGTGGTGTAGTACCTCAGCCAATGCCGCGCCTGCAAACGTCAAGAGGCCAATGGGAGAGCAGGAAAGAGGTATGATTAGGACCGGGCGAGTGTGGAGGAGGCGTTTCAAACGATGTTATAAGTTGTAGAAATTGTGAAACAGCGTCCACCACGTTGTTTTTCGCATTTCGCAGCAAAACGAAGGCAAGGCTCATCGTGTAAGCTTACTCGAGAGTAAGACGGCGAGCAGCACCCATCCGAAAGCGATAGTATTCGGAGACCTGCCGGGAGACATCTTCATCGCCATGCCACCGTGAGTGAAAATATGCGCTAAAATGGAAGGTATACCTGCCGAATGCTGGTAAAGCTCAGCCGCCAAGAGTTGCAGAAGAAAACCAATTTGCGTAGACTGAATTCAACGCGGCGACCTCCTGATTTACTTGTGAAAGTGACGCGAAGGTGTTATATATAGTACTGGTGAGTAGGCGCTTTCTGGCGCGATGTTTCTTTCTTGCCCGGCGCCATATCGAGTGAGATGACGTGTCCATCAGGGTGTGGCCTGCGTTAGGAGCAACAGGCGAAGCCGTCGAGGCCTTGCCGACCGACCTGAGTGGTTCAGTCATCCAGGCGCGCTGCAAGGGGCTGCCTTAAACTCGAGTCAAGTTAGTTGTAGGTCGGTATAGGCGTTGGTAGGAGGCTGTAATATTGTCGGTGCTAGGTGTGTCAATGTCGGCATGAGATGGGATGAAATGAAATTGGCAGGGACGAGGACGTGTTCGAAGAGTTCACTTCATTACGGTGAGATGCGAGTCTGTGCGAGTCAAAACGGCTCTTTCCTACATCGCTACGTTTAGGTGAGGTTCGAGAGGTCACCAACACTTGCACCACGCCCTTGCTGTAAATGCAGATTGGTGCGGTATTGTGTGATGGGGTGGGGTATGTGGGTGCGGTTGTAGAGGCTGGCAGGCTGCAAATGCACATTTTGGAATTTGGTGCAAAGGATGCGCGGCTCGCAGGGAGTTGACGTGGCGCGTATGTGCAGACGACACTTGGCGAACAAGCGTATACGCTTTACCAGCTGTATCACTGTATATTGTGTAGCAATTGGGAGGTTTTACTACAAGCTAAGAGAGTATTGAACATATACACTGCGTAAGAATGTCACGAATTTGTATTCGTTTTTACACGCACAATGAACCAATCGCTTGGGCACGTAGCCCCACTTTCACTGTCACGGTATTAGAACGAAGGGGAGTTGATTCAAAAGGAATGTTGGGCGAGCTCCCACAAACGAGGGAACCGACATATTCTCAAGATGCGCCTGGCGAAGGACAGCACGACCAATAACAACGCAGCACAACTTTGTCAAGGTTGGTTGTTGCGACGCTTTCTTCTCACTTCACCACGCTGTGCGACGTCGCATCGTATGCCCTCCACGACTTCCTTCCCTGAAGTCGTGCGAGCCAGCAAGCCTGCACAGCAAGCAGGTGCCCCCTGGAATGAATCGTGAGCAGGAATGCTGGGCAGTTAGAATCACCTGGTCATGTCGTGAAACTATTAGTACCACTCTGTAACACTAAAATACGCGATAAACCACTGCACAGAGCTCTGAAGGTTCTGGGAAGACAAAGACCGTGATCCACAGTAAACGACAGTGCTCCAGGCCGCGAAAAGGGTAATTGCAAGGGCACGGGCTGAATATGGTGTTGTAAGATAATGTGAGATACAGTACGGTCTCTATGTCACGGAGGCTTGAAGGCGAATAACCCAGCACCACGCACCCACCATTCCACCAGCGACCCTTGATACTGTAGTGTCATTTGTGACTCGCGTCTAGGGTGTCATTTCAGCATGTAAGCGCCATTCCACATTCATTCCTACCAGGACCTCCTTACGTAGCTCTGCAGTGCTCGATTACCTGCCGTCTGATACGAGAAAAACACGAATGGCACACACGGCCGGCTCGTTTCCTCGCTGATCGAACCCAAAGCCACTCTAACAGCGCTTATTGGCCATTCTGTTCCTCTGCTCATGCCGGGTAGAGTATTCTATGCAATACTGTATCGTCGAGGTCACCGTAGACTGGGACTGGGTCGAAGGTTCCTGCTGGTGTTACACCCGTTCGACTCCGACTGAAACAGGAGGTCCTCTGTCTATTCCCATCCAAGCCTTCGTGATTTTTTTTCCACTTTTTTCTTTCAGCATTGGAAATAAAACCTGTAGCGTAGGTACTATATCGCCGAGCCGTGGGGTATTACTCTTCTTCGATTCATATCTCACACCGTCTTCAGTCCGTGCGACCTTCGTGCGATGGCGTCGTCCATGTCGCTCACCGACATCGCAGCCTTCGCAGCGTCGTCGCTCGTCGAGTTCGCAGAAGTCATCGTCATCGCCGTCGCCACGTCGGTCCCCGTCGCTGGCCTCTGTATAGGCGTCCCCGTCGTCCGCATAATCACCGCGTGCCTGCGCGGGCAGCGTACGCGTTTTAAGTACATTCGCTGGTGGCTAACGTGCGCCGTGTCGCTCCTGCTGCTCGTGAATCTCCTATTTCTGTCGGTCGGAATCGGCGCGCTTTGGCTGCAGATGCCGCCTGATCCGGCCGCCATGTCCAAGGGCACGTGCCGCGTCGTTTCCGCAGGTGAGAATAGTGATCATTATTGCTCGAACCCAAATGTCATTCATTTGTTTCCATTCCCCCCCTTCTCCCCGCTCCACATCCCCCTTATCCCTCCCCCATGACCTCTAGGCATTTTCCCGCTTTCGCCATTTCCTAATCTTGCGACTACCCGATTTTCACAATGTCCTGATTTCGCCAGGGGTGGATCTGCGATCCGTCAAGCTGTGCACTGTCAACGACACCTCCTCCTCGTCATCGTTGCCAACCTGGTTACCATCTTCGCCACACACGTTGCAAGCCCCATCGCAAGCCTCACCACACCCCGCCTCTCGTCCGTTCGCCTCCTCCTCCCCTTACGCCACGCCTTCCCCTCCTCCTTCCTCCTCCCCCAACCACCACTCCTCCGCCCACTCCTCCCCACCCGCCTGTCACGCCTCCTCCCCTTTTTCCTGCCCCTCAGCCTCCGCCTCCGCTTCCCACCCCGCCTCCCCTTCCCCCTCCGCCTCCGCCTCCCCTCCCGCCAACCCCCCCTCCGCCCTCGCGTCCCTCTCCGCGTCGCTCCTCGCGCTCCTCCCGCAACCGCTGCTCTCCGCGCTGCCGCTCTCCCCCTCCGCCACGCGCTGCCACTTCACCTACTACTGGGCGGCTCTCATCCAGCTCGACCTCAACGTCTCCTTCCACTCGCCGTCCAACACGTGGCGCTCGCTGCGTCAGCACAGGCGCCAGAAAAGTCAACGCGGTCAACACGGTCAAGCGAGTCAACGCAGTCAACGAAGTCAAAGCGGTCAAGAGGAGCAAGGGGAGGAATGGGAGGAAGGGGATCAGCAAGGGGCCTTTACAACGATCCGAACCACAACGGCTCTCCCCGACCCGCTGTCCCTGTCGCTGCCGTCCTCCCAGTGCCGCCCGGACTTCAATGCCGCGTGGCGGGCCAAAGACAAGTACAAGGTGCGCCCCCCCTGCTGCTGCCACTCCCCCTGCCGCTGCTATCGCCCGTCTTCTTCCCCATTCGTCCCCCACTTTAACCCCAACTTGCCCTCTCTCCCATGCTCCCCCTTCCCCCCGTCCACCCCCAAGTGGCATCGCTGCACAAGTGCCTGTACGACCCGCGCCAACCGCACAGGGTGCACCTCCTTCCTGTTGTTAATCCCATTCCCCTTTTTCCCCCTCACGACCCCTCTCCCCCCCCCCCCCCAACCCCCCCCCCCCCCCCTTCCCCAACCCCCCTAGCCCACCCCCCGTCGTCCCTCCTTCCCCCTCCAGGTGGCCTCACTGCACAAGGGCCTGTACGACCCGCGTCACCCCCACAGGGCGCACCTGCTTCTTCCCCTTACCCTCCACCCCCCTCTTGCGCTTCTTCCCTCCCCTAACTCCATTCCTCCAGGTGGCATCGCTGCACAAATGCCTGTACGACCCTCGCCACCCCCACAGGGTGCATCTCCCCCCTCCGCGCTCCATGCGTCACTGCCCGCCCCCCCCGCGCCAGGGCATTTTCATGCACCTCGCTGCTACAGCCATCACCAAATGGTGAGTTTGGAGGTCGGATTGATAAGGTTCCAGGTGGTTAAGGGGTTTCTTGGGCTTGCAGGGTGTCCTGCCCGCCTCCCCCGCGCCAGGGCATTTTCATGCACCTCGCTGCTGCCGCCGTCACGAACTGGTGAGCGTTTTAGAGCTTATAGGGCCCTGTCTGTAGAGCACTATGTATGACCCCCACAGGGTGAACTTGTCTGTAAATAACCTGGGGAGATGGAAGGAGAGAGGAAGAGACAGGACATGGACGAAAGGAGAGGGAGGCAGCAGCAGCAGCAGCAGCAGCAGCAGCAAGGCGCATGAGTCGAGTCAAGATTATTTACAGACAAGTTGCTATTCAAACCGTCATAATTAGTGGGAAAGCTCTATCTGGAGCTCAGCTCTTCACCGGCCCTCCCTAACGTACCGGCTCTCATTTCCCCATCCCTTGTCCCCCTCCCCGCACCAGGTTGTTTTCAGACGAGTCCATATTCCAGCCGGCTTCTTCAGTGGGCAAGCTCTGTCTGGGTCTCAGCCCTTCATGGGCCCTCCCTACTATGCCCAGACCCCTCATTCTCTCTCATGCGCCCATCCCCTGCCCCTGACTCTCTGTCCCCGCAGGTTCTTATCAGACGAGTCCATATTCCAGCCGTCCTCCTCGGTGGGCAAGCTCTATCTGGGTCTCAGCCTGGGCGTGCTGCTGGGAGTGCTGTGCTGCGTGGGCACGCATGTCTTTGGTCGCATCGTCGTGGCTCTCGACTGCTTCCAACCCCCAGCTTCCTCCCTTTTCGTCTCTGCGATTGAGGTAGGCTGCTGCTTATTGAAGCGTCATGTGCCTGTTGCTGCTGGGTGTGCCCCTGCTCTTTCCCGCCTCCTCGTGCTGCTGGGTGTGCTCTGCTGTATCAGCACGCATGTCTTTGGTCGCATGTCTTTCCCTCCAACCACGAGTTGGTTGGCAGCATCATCATGGCTTGACTGCTTCCAACCAACTGCCCTCATCCTCCTTTTTTTTCCTTTTTTGTCTTTTTTTTTCCGTGATCTTAGAGAGACACTTGCAGGCGGCTGGCGCATGCACTCATGTGACCCATCCCCTCACACACTCATACTCGTGCCATGCATCCCCTCACACACTCATACTCGTGCCATGCATCCCCTCACACACTCATACTCGTGCCATGCATCCCCTCACACACTCATACTCGTGCCATGCATCCCCTCACACACTCATACTCGTGCCATGCATCCCCTCACACACTCATACTCGTGCCATGCATCCCCTCACACACTCATACTCGTGCCATGCATCCCCTCACACACTCATACTCGTGCCATGCATCCCCTCACACACTCATACTCGTGCCATGCATCCCCTCACACACTCATACTCGTGCCATGCATCCCCTCACACACTCATACTCGTGCCATGCATCCCCTCACACACTCATACTCGTGCCATGCATCCCCTCACACACTCATACTCGTGCCATGCATCCCCTCACACACTCATACTCGTGCCATGCATCCCCTCACACACTCATACTCGTGCCATGCATCCCCTCACACACTCATACTCGTGCCATGCATCCCCTCACACACTCATACTCGTGCCATGCATCCCCTCACACACTCATACTCGTGCCATGCATCCCCTCACACACTCATACTCGTGCCATGCATCCCCTCACACACTCATACTCGTGCCATGCATCCCCTCACACACTCATACTCGTGCCATGCATCCCCTCACACACTCATACTCGTGCCATGCATCCCCTCACACACTCATACTCGTGCCATGCATCCCCTCACACACTCATACTCGTGCCATGCATCCCCTTCGTCTGCCCCCTTGCCCAGGTGAGCCGTGGGCTGCGCATCACGCTAGTCGGGAGATACCACTCAGCAATAAGCGAGGAGGGTAGGGAAAGTCGGAGAGACAGAGGGAGCAGCACCAGCAGCACCAGCTGCAGCAGTGGCAGCAGGGACAAGGACACAGACAGGGATAGCAGCAGCAGCACCGCCAGCAACACCGCTAGCAGTAACACCAGCAGCAGCAGAAGCAGCTTGCTACACACGCACGGGTCCCTGACCCAGTCACTTGAAAAGATCCTGGGCTTTTGTGGCTCTTCGACTGCTTTATCTTTCACAGGCACCCAGTTTCTCTCCAACCACTCTCCAGACATTCACCACCCGCCCAACTTGCTCCATTCAGTGGGATCAGGGTCTCTCTCAAGCTCTCTCTCTGATGATCTGGAGGATCTCGATCTTTCTGAGAGCATTCTCAGCTGCTTCTGCCCCTCGCTGGTTGACAGCCCTTTTCTGGCAAAGAAGCTCCCTGAGAATTCACCTGAGAGGTCACCTGATCGCTACCGCAAGGGGGATTTGTGCCGATTGAGTGGTCTGGGCCGACCTGTAGCAGCGGGGGCGGAGGATGTTGAGCCGCTTTCCCTGCACCAGCAGGAGGAACAATCCCAGGCAGAGGGAGAGGGAGAGGCAGAGGCAGAGGCAGAGGCAGAGGCAGATGCAGGGGCAACGGCAGGGGCACTGGCTACACAGGCAGAGGCAGAGGTAGATGCAGAGGCAGAGGAGGAAGCAGGGGGACAGGAACGATCGCGGAATACACAGGGTCTGCCGGTCAATGCCTCACAAGCGCAGCCGTTCCTGCGCTCAGAAGAAGAGAGCGGTGGGCTGGTTGTGCCTCAAGAACAGACCTTGCCTCAAGAGCAGTCCGTGGGTTATCAGCAAGGAAGCTGTTTGAGTCTAGCTGTGTGCTGTGAGGTATCGGGTGTGGAGGGCGATGGAGGTGGTGCTGTCACAGCAGCAGCAAGTTCGGCGGCAGGTTTGGCAACAGGTCCGGGAGTAGGTCCAGGTTTGGCAACAGCTCTGGCACCAGGGCTGGCTGCAGCTCCAGCGGTGGCTCCTCCAGGTTCAGAGGGTTTGGCTGATAGGGACCAGCAAGTGGCAGCAGTGCCACCACTACCACTCACACCTGCAGCAGCAACAGAGCCATCAGCCTTGATATCATCGTCAGCATCATCAGGATTATCGTCCTTAGCAGCCATGCCAGCACTCTCGACTCCTCTGTCAGTAGAAGCTGGGGCTTCAGGGTCAGCATTGTCGTCACCGCGAGCGGTAACCGTGCCTGCGCAACCACAGCAACGCTCGAAGCCTCTTTCGCCCCGGAGTAGACGATACCCATCACCCACTTTCCTACTCCAGGCGCGCGCGCAAGCCTTGTGTTACATCGCGATAACGTGCGTAGTTGTTGGGCTCCTGGGTATTCTTCATGATACTGGATTAGTGCCGTTTCTAGATCCTTCTGGCGCCCCTGTGTTTCTTCAAGGGATTAATTCCTTGCTTCAGCAAGGGGGCTTGCCCTATGCCTCTGCAGCAGCTTTTGATGGCTCCTCCGGTGCTGACCGCTCTTCAGTATACCGCGACCACCGGCCTTTAATGTGAAATAATGTGCATCTGTGCATGATAAACATATTAGACATCTTTCTGTACATGTATATTAGCATGGTCTGATTTGCAAGGCTTCTAATATATGGCATATATGTGCATATTGCACAATCATTATGATGTTTGAATGTATTATTGTTGCCGCGTCTCGGACTCGCCTCACGGTTGTAGGTTTGTTTTAGCAAACAAGCCTGGTGGCTTCATTGGGTTCAGTGACTCGGTTCGGTGGTCCCCGCTGAGTCAGCGAAACGGCTCTCCTCCAGACCGAATCGCCCACGTGGTCCCTGAACCCACCCACCTTCGCTCTCATTGGTCCGCTCGAGCTTTTAAAACCGCGTCATGCTGTCGAGCCTGGCGCGGAGCGGAGCTCACGAAGATCTTGCGGAGCACGCTTCCGCAACCTTCGCCTGGCCACACAGCCAGCTTCCTTCTTCGAGACGTTTCTTCTTTGGGGTTTCATCCACGAGAGGTTTGGCTCGGCAGAGCACGCCACAGCGCAACACCTTTCCCGAGGGACAATGTTATATGGTGTTGTTGGAAGTATATAATCGTCCTCCATCATTTATTCCTCTTCATTCTTGAGCTAGGTTTCTGCTTGCCTGACTACTACCTGCTTGTTCTAGCCTCCGTAGAGCCTGCTTGTTCTAGCCTCCGTAGAGCCTGCTTGTTTGGTAGTTTGCTAGTTTCCGTCAGCCACCATGCAAATCTTCGTGAAGACTCTCACCGGCAAGACCATTACCCTTGAGGTCGAGAGCAGCGATACCATCGACAATGTTAAGGCCAAGATCCAGGACAAGGAGGGGATTCCTCCTGACCAGCAGCGTCTGATTTTCGCTGGCAAGCAACTGGAGGATGGCCGTACTCTTGCGGACTACAATATCCAGAAGGAGTCTACGCTTCATCTGGTGCTTCGGCTTCGCGGTGGCATGCAAATCTTCGTGAAGACTCTTACCGGCAAGACCATCACCTTGGAGGTTGAGAGCAGCGACACGATTGACAACGTTAAGGCGAAGATTCAGGATAAGGAAGGCATCCCCCCCGACCAGCAGCGCCTGATTTTTGCCGGCAAGCAGCTCGAGGACGGACGTACTTTGGCCGACTACAACATTCAGAAGGAGTCGACCCTGCATCTGGTGCTTCGCCTCCGCGGTGGCATGCAGATCTTCGTGAAGACTCTTACCGGGAAGACGATTACTCTGGAGGTTGAGAGCAGCGACACCATCGACAACGTGAAGGCGAAGATCCAGGATAAGGAAGGCATCCCCCCCGACCAGCAGCGCCTGATTTTCGCCGGCAAGCAGCTCGAGGACGGTCGCACGTTGGCTGACTACAATATCCAGAAGGAGTCGACTCTTCATCTGGTGCTCCGTCTTCGCGGAGGCATGCAGATTTTCGTCAAGACCTTGACGGGAAAGACCATCACTCTGGAGGTTGAGAGCAGCGACACCATTGACAACGTGAAGGCGAAGATTCAGGATAAGGAGGGGATTCCCCCTGACCAGCAGCGCCTGATTTTCGCCGGCAAGCAGCTCGAGGATGGTCGCACTCTGGCTGACTACAACATCCAGAAGGAGTCGACGCTTCACCTGGTGCTTCGCCTTCGTGGTGGTATGCAGATTTTCGTGAAGACCCTCACGGGAAAGACCATCACGCTCGAGGTTGAGAGCAGCGACACCATTGACAACGTCAAGGCTAAGATTCAGGACAAGGAGGGTATCCCCCCTGACCAGCAGCGTCTGATCTTCGCAGGCAAGCAGCTCGAGGATGGTCGCACTTTGGCTGATTACAACATCCAGAAGGAGTCCACCCTCCATCTGGTGCTTCGCCTCCGTGGTGGTCAGTAGTGATCACCAGCTTAAGCTGGGTGGGAAGTGGTTGTGATGAATGCCAGTAGGCCTTTCTGTGATTTGCTGTTTATAATGGTGTATTGAAAGGCTTACTACATTTGTACCCAAGCATGATTGTCTTAATAGCAGCGTTAGCTGCACCATTTATACACAGTGTCACACCATCCGGTGCATTAATAACCAGGTCAGTCCAATCGTTCAGACAGCTTGAATGAAGATCCCTTAATTACTCCTCTGGTCAGTATCCAGTAGTTACTACCAAGCCCATGTTTGACAAATGGTTGACTACATACTGTATTCTACCACAAGGCAGTCACAATGCCATTGTTGTGTTGCTGTTACCGTACACCCCTGTACCAATTGTATGTTTCATGCATATCAAAATGCAATGGCAGCACTGGCCTTCACCCTCTGCGGCTTCATGAGCCACCACCTCTGCAGCACCAATCTTCACCCATGTCTCTCATCCACCACATATTGTGGTGTGCTCAAGATGCAATGATAGCACCAGCCTTCTCCCTCTGCGGTTCAACAGCCACGGCATCAGCCACCACCTCTGCAGCACCCATTTCCTCCACCCGCCGTCCAAACGCGAGCTCAAAGATCTCATCGTAGTGCTCCACGAACCAGGCATCCAGCCCCTCCCTCACATGCTCTGGCAGCTCCTCATAGTCCTTGCGGTTGGCCTTGGGGAACACAAGCAGCTTCACACCATTGCGACGAGCGGCTATGGTCTTCTCCTTAACCTGTGGGAAGGGTGGGCAGTGAGCGACAGGAAACAAAGCTCTCATGTGTTTTGGCCGCTCCTTCTCATACGCCTTGCGGTTGCGCCAGTTACAGCATAGCAGTAATCATCATGCAACCAGCAAGTCAACACAAGTCAAAGCAAGTCAAGGAAGTCAAGCAACTCACCCCTCCAATCGGCAGCACTTTGCCAGTCAAGGTCACTTCGCCAGTCATTGCTAAATCCGCTCTCACATGCCGCCCCAGTGCCAGAGACAGCATGGCAGTGATCATGGTGCAGCCGGCACCCGGGCCGTCCTTGGGCGTGGCCCCAGCTGGCACGTGCATGTGCCTCCCAGTCACCAGCATAACAATAGCCACAGAACAACATACCGCAAGTCAAAGCAAGTCAAGGCAACTCACCCCTCCAATCGGCAGGACTCTGCCTGTCAAGGTCACTTCGCCAGTCATGGCCAGATCTGCCCGCACGAGTCTTCCCAGCGCCAGAGGCAGCATGGCAGTGATCATGGTGCAGCCAGGTGAGCGAACACAAGTCAATGAGAGTGCAGGCAACTCACCCCTCCAATCGGCAGCACCCGTCCAGTCAAGGTAACCTCTCCCGTCATAGCAAGGTCCGCTCTCACGTGTCTCCCCAGTGCCAGAGACAGCATGGCAGTGATCATGGTGCAGCCGGCACTCGGGCCGTCCTTGGGAGTGGCCCCGGCCGGCACGTGCATGTGCATGCGCGTCTTTCTGAAGAACTCGCTGCCGGGGTCGGCCCGCGTGAGGATTTGCCGCGCGACTGTATGGGCTATGGTGGCGCTCTCCCTCATCACGTCTCCCAGCTGGCCCGTCAGCTCCAGACTGCCTCTTTCCGCTGCCTGGGGTTGGGTGAATGAGGCAGTGGGAAGGAAAGGGAAGGAAGAGAGGTTGACAACCTGCCGTGCCACCGTGTGCCGCGCTATGGTGGCGCTTTCCCTCATCACATCGCCTAATTGGCCTATGTGGGGTTACCAAGGCAGTGGGGAGAAAGAGAGGGTGAGATCAGTCACGCCACCGGGTGGTGGTGAATGGGGGAGGCAGTAGGGCGGGGGAAGAGCATTGGGTGGCAAAACACATGTATCACTCCAATGAACCCCCCACGGCAGTCCAGGCCAGCCAGCCCCATAACCACGCCCACTGCCCTCTCATTGCACATGCACTCACTCTGGCTGCAATGAGTCTGGACACCTCAACCCACCCCGACCCTTTCAACCCACCTCAACCCATGTCAACCTGTTGATGATGACTGTGGCTTCAACAAAAAGTCCTCCTCACCTGCTCAATGACTGTGGCTTCAACAAAAAGGACCCCCCATGGCAGTCCACGCCAGCCCCATGACCACACCCACGGGCGTCTCATCATACATGCGCTCGCTCTGAATGGAATAGGTCTCGATAAATGCACGCACAGCAGTGACATGCTCACCTGCTCAATCACTGTGGCTTCAACGTAGAGCGTTGAACCCCCCATGGCAGTCCACGCCAGCCCCATGACCACACCCACGGGCGTCTCATCATACATACGCTCGCTCTGAAACACCGGCTGCCCCACATACTCCACCAACGTACCCTCGTCCACCACTATCCTCTCCCTCTCCTCCTTCCCACCCTCCTTAGCCACACTTGCAGCCTCCTTCCCAGCCTCATTCTCCCTCTCCTTGCCCTCCTTACCCTCCTCCCCGCCCCCATCAATGGCCCCTGGCCTTTCCTTCTCCTCTCCCCGCCTCTCTCCCTCACCCCTCCGTTCCCCTTCGTCCCTCCTCTCCTCCAGCCCCTCCCCCCCATCCTCGGACAGCCGAGTGACAAGGTCCAGAGCGCCCTCTGTACCCTCCATAATCTTCTCCGCTATCTCCATACTGTCCTTCCTGCTGCTGCTGCTGCTGCTAGAATCACTAGTGCTGGAAATACTGCTGCTGAAATCACTGCTGCTCCTGCTGCCACTAGCACTGCTGGAAAGAGAATCCTTTTCCTCTTCCCCATCCTCCACTAGTCCTGCTGCTGCTGCCGCAGCTACCTTCTTTCGCTCCTCCCTCTCCCCCTCCCTACGCACTATCTTCAATGCCACCTGCAAACCACGGAGATGGGGGAAGACAGGGAGTGTGCGTGACCGTCAACATGCAACTCATACCCTCCCGTACCTCCCACTCCGTTGGAGTGACTTTTGAGAATTCTCAAAAGTCACTCCAACATGCAACTCATACCCTCCCGTACCTCCCACTCCTCCCTCGTCCCTCTCTCCGCCCTTGATTTCAAGAACCACAAACTCATCCCTGCACACCTCCCTGCACCCTTCCCAGCAATAGAAATTCCTCACCTGGTGGTAGATCCTCTCGATGTGTTTCTGCAGGTTCCTCAGTACACCCCACCAAGCACAACCTTCAGCACCCCTCCCTGCACACCTCCCTGCACCCTTCCCAGCAGGCTCTCTACCTGGCGGTAGATCCTCTCAATGTGCTTCTGCAGGTTCCTGAGTGCACCCCACCAAGCACCCCAGCACCACTCCCAACACCAATGCACTCCTCCCAAAACCCCTCCCAGCAAGCTCACACCTTGCGGGAAATCCTCTCGATGTGCTTCTGCAGGTTCCTCTCCCCGACCTCTCTGCAGGACGTCTCGATAAGCGAATGCAATGAACTCCGAAGCACCCCCCTCAGCACCCCCCTCAGCACCCCCCTCAGCACCCCCCTCAGCACCCCCCTCAGCACCCCCCTCAGCACCCCCCTCAGCACCCCCCTCAGCACCCCCCCCTGCACAAGGTGACTTTAGAGTCGACTCAAAAGTCACCTCCGAAGCACAACCTTCAGCACCCCCCTCAGCACCCCTCCCTGCACCCCTCCCTGCACCCTTCCCAGCAAGCTCTCTACCTGGCGGTAGATCCTCTCAATGTGCAGCTGCAGGTTCCTTAGTACACCCGATCAAGCACCCCAGCACCACTCCCAACACCCCTGCACACCTCCCCAAGCCCCTCCCAGCAAATTCCTTACCTTGCGGTAGATCCTCTCAATGTGCTTCTGCAGGTTCCTCACACCCGCCTCCCTGCAATACGTCTCAATCAGTGAGTGCAGCGCAGCATCCGTGACCAGCACCTGGTGGTTTCACGAGGAAAGAGGGCGGTCGAAGGAGGGAGGGGAGAGTGGTGATAGTGAAATCACTATTGAGAATTTTAGGTGAAATCACCAAGTGAGTGCAGCATCCGTGACCAGCACCTGGTGGTTTCACGAGGAAAGAGGGCGGTCGAAGGAGGGAGAGGAGAGTGGTGAGGCGCCTCCAAAGGTTCCTCACGCCCGCCTCCCAGCAGTACGTTTAAGAATTCTCAAAAGTACCCTCAATCAGTGAGTGCAGTGCAGTATCCGTGACCAGCACCTGGTGGCTTCACGAGGAAAGGGAGTTCATTACAAGGAGGGAAGGGAGAGTGGTGAGGCGCCTCCAAAAGGTTCCACACGCCCGCCTCCCTGCAGTACGTCTCAATCGGTGAGTGCAGTGCACCTTTGAGACGCCTCAGTATCCGTCACCAGCACCTGGTGGTTTCAGAAGGAGGGAAGGGAAGGCGACGTGTGAGACTGGTGGCGCCAAGCAACTCTGCATGCGCCTTCAAAGGTTCCACACCCCAACGGTCCTTTGTATTAATGCGGTGATTGGTACAAAGCGTGTGCTAGAATAGCTCCCACCTGTTCTGGCTTCACACCGCACCCAGTGCGAGCAGCAGGCTCCAGGTACCCTCTATCGATGTGGGTCTTCTGTGTGTGCTGCTGTGAGCCCACGTGCGGTATGTGCTACAAAGCGTGTGCTAGAATAGCTCCCACCTGTTCTGGCTTCACACCGCACCCAGTGCGAGCAGCAGGCTCCAGGTACCCTCTATCGATGTGGGTCTTCTGTGTGTGCTGCTGTGAGCCCACGTGCGGTATGTGCTACAAAGCGTGTGCTAGAATAGCTCCCACCTGTTCTGGCTTCACACCGCACCCAGTGCGAGCAGCAGGCTCCAGGTACCCTCGAGCGATGTGGGTCTTCTGTGTGTGCTGCTGTGAGCCCACGTGCGGTACGTGCTACAAAGCGTGTGCTAGAATAGCTCCCACCTGTTCTGGCTTCACACCGCACCCAGTGCGAGCAGCAGGCTCCAGGTACCCTCTATCGATGTGGGTCTTCTGTGTGTGCTGCTGTGAGCCCACGTGCGGTACGTGCTACAAAGCGTGTGCTAGAATAGCTCCCACCTGTTCTGGCTTCACACCGCACCCA